ACAACCTCCGATATGCAGATGATACCACTCTGATGGCAGAAAGTGAGGAGGAATTAAAGAACCTCTTAAGGAGGGTGAAAGAGGAGAGCACAAAAAATGGTCTGAAGCTCAACATCAAAAAAACTAAGATCATGGCCACTGGTCCCATCACCTCCTGGTGAATAGAAGGGGAAGATATGGCGGCAGTGACAGATTTTACCTTCTTGGGCTCCATGATCACTGCAGAGGGAGACAGCAGCCATGAAATTAAAAGACGCCTGCTTCTTGGGAAGAAAGCGATGACAAACCTAGACAACATCTTAAAAAGCAGAGACATCCCCTTTCCGACAAAGGTCTGCATAGTCAAAGCTATGGTTTTTCCAGTAGCAATGTATGGAAGTGAGAGATGGACCATAAAGAAGGCTGACCGCCAAAGAATTGATGCTTTTGAATTGTGGTGCTGGAGGAGACTCTTGAGAGTCCCCTGGACTGCAAGGAGAACAAGCCTATCAATTCTGAAGGAAATCAACCCCGAGTGCTCACTGAAAGGACAGATCCTGAATACTTTGGCCATCTCATGAGAAGAGAAGACTCCCTGGAAAAGACCCTGACGTTGAGAAAGTGTGAGGGCAAGAGGAGAAAGGGAGGACAGAGGACAAGATGGCTGGACAGTGTCTGCGAAGCTACTAATATGAATTTGACCAAACTCCGGGAGGCAGTGGAAGATAGGAGGGACTGGCGTGCTCTGGTCCATGGGGTCATGAAGAGTCGGACACAACTTAACAACTAAACAACAACAACAGATAACCAGAACATGTGACTCCTGCTTCTTAGCATTATTGGCATTTGTACTAATAAACAGCAGGGGACTCTTCTTCTCTTTGTGTCCCAGTACTTTACATGGACTGGGACAAAAAGTATCTCAATGACAAAATATAACAGAACTGCTGGTAGCCATGTTTGCCTCAGCTGTCCACCCCCTCCATTAAACCAACTGTGCACAGCAAGCAGCTGAAATGTAGGGACATTGTTTACCACTTCTCAAGTGGCGTCACAAAATGCCTATTTTTTCAGTCTAGTCCTTTGTGAATTATGGAACAAAACAGAAGCAACGTTCTGGAAGCCGCCAGGATGTCCTTTAATCCCTGAAACCCGTTTAGGTAGTACCTCCATAGTGTATTAATTTCTTCACAAACCCATCTTTCAAAATGGGGAAAGGTTTACATAACACCAAATAGCATTTGCATAAACAGTTGTGTGTTTTTTTAATGTGGCAGTGGGCTGTGTAGTCATAATTAAAACTGGCATCATGCATTACAAAGTTGTCAGAAGAAGCTGCCCAGATTCATAGCTTACCATATGCTGATGTTAGGCTTCACAATGCTTACAATATTAAACCATACTCTAGGATTCAGTACAAGCACTCTGCACCCTGAAAGATGTCCATAATGTATGTATGCATGCATGTTTAAAATGAATTTATTTCCTACCTTTCTGCCATCCCTCTCCAAACTCTCTCTCTCTCTCTCTCTCTCTCTCTCTCTCTCTGAGACTAAATACTTTTGCTAAATAATCCAACTGTTTGGATGGTGGTGAGTCAGTGACATATTTGGAAATAATGCTAAAACAATGGTAAATGGTGCTCTCTGCAGCAGAGGCTACTTGAGAGAGGGAAGATCCACTGAATTCATAATAAAATTCTAACTATATAATGAAGTTGTCAGGGTTTTTTGCAGCCATTTGTGTCCAACTAGTGAAAGATGGCTATTTATCATAGCATGTGGTTTGCCTCGCCTACATATTTTGCATTTAGGGTGCTTTGTTTTATGATTTACCATTGAAAGGTAAACACGGATATAATTTGCAAGTCTGGATCGCTGAGGCCAATAGCTCCGAGGAAATCCAATGGTGGGAAGAAAACAATTTAATTGTGTAGAATACACATCCCTCTTACTCTCAGATATATGTATATATGTAGAATTCCATGCTTTGGGCAAACAAGGTAAACATCTATAGATAGATGCAACATTTTAAAATGTTATTTAATTTTAATTTTAATATGCAGTTCCCACTAAATTCAAACATAAAACATGCTGGCAGTTTATTTATTAAAAATTATTGGGAAAAGTCCATGCATTATGTCCACAAAAACACGTATTTATTTAAAAAAACATTATGGAGTGTTCCTTCCAGCTTACGCTAGCCCTTCTCTCCACCCATAAAACTTACTGGGTATGCAGACTAAATATGGAGAGGGAGGGTCTAATGCGACAGGAAACAAGAAACATTAGGATGGGTTTAGTGAAAATTTCCCACTGAAGATAACAGAAATATGCCATGAGTTGAAATACTGCAGACTAGTTATCCCATGAGAACCAAGAAAGCCCCTTTTTATTAATGGTTTTTGAATTTCTTACTTCCATCACCATTAATACTTGTTTTTCAGGAGGGATCCTGCAATCCTTCGATTATAAAAATAATAATCCATCACTGATTATATGCCTCTGAAACAATGGGTTTTCTTTTCTGTCTGACACATCATGTTATCTCTAACATCTATTGAACCAAGCAAAATTATTGGGCTATCCAAACCCATCAATCAACCCATGATACTCACTGTTTGAAAAAGTTCCCATTACATCAGAATCAAAAATCTCCAGCTTCCAATAATGCCGAGCCCGAAGGCGAAAACGTTGCTCAAATAACTCATGTGTCCATGAGAAAATGTTCTGGTAGTAGTAGCATTTAACATTTACTTAGTGATAATGGCATACTAAACTGATATTCAGAACATAAAAAATGCTACTATACTATAATCATGAAGCAATGGTCAACAAAAATAATTTAGGAGTCTAATTTTACAAGCCACATGGGTCTGCCCAAGATAATTTAAAGGGAGGCTTTTAACCAATTATTAGCGAGGAATTTTTGAAGAGCTGGGAATCAATAGTTATTTATATGACCCTTTTAATAAAAGGGGGAACCGTCATCCTCATTCTCCTTTATAGCTCCTACATTAGCATCCTCATCACACAAAAATTCTTCAGTCCCACAGCTTGCAAGTAATGAATGCAACAGAGTAATATTTGTTACCCACAAGAAGTTACATTTTTGGGCAACAAAGAGCAATGACATTTTTTTAAAAAAATGAAAGACGGTTTGGAAGGGCAGCAAGAGTGGTTTCTACTCATTGCTTCAGTGTCTGGAAAGGCATTGCATCTCAGTTTATTTATGATAAAATGGGGGTGTTCTTGTTTTTAAAAACAGACATTTCAAATGGGTCCCATGCCACAGAGCCCCATAGGCATAGGTTGGCTTGTGACAGGGACAAAGGGAAAACCCACTAAAAATGCTGGTTCCAGGAGCCTGCTTCTGACTGCAGGGCCTTGCTGCTTGCTTTCAACTCAAAGTCATCAGGAGTACAACTGCACAAACAGAAAAGTGGGGCAGTGCCAACAGCTGCACTTCTGGAGTCCCTCTAGACGAGCGTTGGCTTTAAGCAAAGTGACACTTGAGACCAAGGGTGGGTGATGTCCAGAGGCCATACCTATCCAGCCCTGGACCTTGGGAGGCGGCACCCACTCTCAAAACCACCACCCACACCCCAAAAATATTGCAAAATAAATGAATTTGAGTTTTTGCTGAAAAGCTTCCTTTCACTCTCTAATGGCTAAAAAAATTAAAAATTGAATGGCTGGGGAGCCACACATGGACCGGAGGACCTCAAAACATGCTCCAAGAGTGCACGGGATGACTTTGTGAGGGTGTGTGTGTTTTTTTAAAGGGGGGGAGAGGTGTAGAGTTCTGCAGGAGAAGGTGATCTGAACGTGATATGGGAGCTGCACGTTGCCCATCACAACTCTAGACATACTTTGGAAACACTGTCTTGCTCTCCTGCTAATTATTATGGATTGGAAGCAAACAAGAGCCCAGCCCACGCCCCCTGATAGAGACCAGTTCAAAAGTGTTAAAACTTGTGTGAGAGAGCGAGGGAAAGAGAGACTTGGTTGGAACAAGCACGCACTGAGCTCCTGTACTACAGGTGTGGTTTTTCTTTTGAAAAGCAGGAAAGAGAGAAACAGTTTGCTTGACAAAGTTATTTTTGGCAGATTATTGGACCAACTTACCTATCTTAAATGACAACAACCATACAGGGCACAAGATTCAAACCAGGGTTACAGAACCTCCTGAAGCCATTTTGAAAGTTCCTGGAACCCCACGAGGGGTAGGGGATACACATACAGTATCTTGCCACTGGAGGGCGCACTTCTCCCCTAGAATAAGGTGTGCCCCAAAGACAAGGCTGCGGCAGACAGTGTGGCTTTATGACTTTGTCTTGAGAAGGGAGCATTTACTTCTCGTGTCATCAGACTATGCAACCCTCTTGTCTTGGGATGTTCACCTGCCCCACACGGGGATGATGAAGATGGTCCCTCAGCCAGGGTGCCATCTAGAGTTGCTCTAGCTGGACTCTTGATTGGAGGGCCCCTATCATCAGGAGCATGGCCTCCTTCTGTTAGTGATGTTGGTGATACTCATGACATCACCACACCCAGAAATCATCCCAAGTGCTCTGAGGGGGCAACTCAAACCCTAGGTCACCACCTCTAGATTGAATCGACAGGACAAAGTCATGGCAGTCTTGCTTTCCCTTTAAAGCAAAGCAAAGCAAAGCGTGCTGCTTATATACCGCCCCATAGCACTTCAAGCACTCTCTGGGCGGTATCATCAGGAGCATGGCCTCCTTCTGTTAGTGATGTTGGTGATACTCATGACATCACCACACCCAGAAATCATCCCAAGTGCTCTGAGGGGGCAACTCAAACCCTAGGTCACCACCTCTAGATTGAATCGACAGGACAAAGTCATGGCAGTCTTGCTTTCTCTTTAACAGCTCTTTGGCCTGGGATCCTGGGATCTAGGAGTGTGCTAGAGATCTCTAGCAGATGATTCTAAGGGACCTCACCACACAAATCCTAGGAGTCAATTACATGAAGCCATGGCTGCTAAAAGTGGTATGAAATCACTGTAACTCTCAGTACCGTTGATACACTCGTACTCCTCAGGTAAACTGGAGGGATTAGAAATAGAAAATACAGAGTTTTTGCAAGAGAAGAGGAAGGGGGGGCATTCCTCCGCCCTATTAAACTGAGTGCCCTCTGAAATGTAGCTTGGGACGCTGTTGCCTAAGGTAATATTAGGAAGTCACAGAAGAACACGGCAGGTGTAATTCTCCGAAGCACTTTCTTGCAGAGAAGAGATTTGTGGAGCAACTCTATAGGAGGAAAAAGACAGGATGAGGAGAAGTCAAACACTGAGCACTTTCCTCCATCCATCCACCCCAGAGTTCTGAGCCACATATTTTGCCCACCAGAAAAATGCCATCTGACATAATTATTTCTGAATCGCCAAAGCTGATGTAGTTGTGTGTGTAAATTTTTAAAAGAGAGCAGCGCAGGAAGCACACAGCTGAATGCTTCTCAACAACCACCCGAAGACCACATCAACAAAAGATCCATCACAATGGATCAATTCCTGCACCACCAAACTTCTTTATTTACTTGCTGGCAGATGGAAATCAATCGTCTGTGCCTTTCAATGCCCAGAGCACAAAGTTCAGGTGAAAAGCTCTTCTCAGAAATACATACTGTGCAAGGAGGTCATCGAGCAAGGACTTCATGATGCCCAAAGAGGATTATAGATATTGCTTTTCCTGGCTAAGTAATAAATTCTACTCAAGCTACCCATGGCTTAATATTGCCTTTTTCCTGCCCGACAGTGGAAAGAACAGAAAGGGAACAAAGAAAATAAGCCTAATATCACTCCCGCCTGACTATGCCCATCCTCACCCCCTAGTGTTAATACTTATGGCCCACAGCGATAGGATGAAATGCCATCGGTAGGTTCCCTAATGCTCAGGATGCATCTAAAAACCATACCCATTATTCACACTGTATATAAAGGAAGTGGCAAATTGCTGCACACAGTTTGGAAGAAACAGGATGGATTTGGGTTTGGGATCTTGAAAGGCAAAACTCATGTTAGCGGTACTTTGACACTGGCTCAAGGGATTAGACAGGCCCGTGACTGTTAAGATTTACAGCATTTTAGCCGTTTGTCCCAACCTAAGCAAAAACCTCCAAGGCAACTATCCTCTGTGCACACGTACTAAGAAGTCCCATTGGAATTATCTTCCAAGGAGTTAGCTATGTAGAGTCTGCTATAGCAAAAAAAAAAAAAAAAAAAAAAAAAAGAGTCATGGGGCACCTTAAAAACTAACATATTGTATTTCAAAATTTAAAAATAAAATAAAATCTACACATTTTCTTCTTTTCCTCGCTGCCACCAGTGGATTTTCTTTTATCCGCAATACCAAGAACTAACTATAGACAAACACTTGTCTGATTACTGCCAATCAAAGTTATTTATTTATTTGTGTTCAGTCGTTTAGTCGTGTCCGACTCTTCGTGACCCCATGGACCAGAGCACGCCAGGCCCTCCTATCCTCCACCGCCTCCCAGAGTTGTGTCAAATTCATGTTGGTTGCTTCAATGACACTGTCCAACCATCTCATCCTCGGTCGTCCCCTTCTCCTCTTGCCTTCACACTTTCCCAACATCAAAGTCTTTTCCAAGGAG